CTTTTATTTCGAACAAGTTCCGTGAAAGTTCGTTACATATGTATGTACAGTGATATACGTTTCCAATTTCTTTAGTTTTCATGGTCTTCGCTTTGATTCTAATAGAAACATTGGAATAAAAAATAAATATTAGCTTATTTGGTAGCACAAAATCCATCAAGGATTAATTCACAATTTATTAAGATACGAAATAATTTCCAAATACATATACAAATTATAAAATTATACCCAATTTTCATAAGAACACCATACTATTTCTCCACCTCAACAGCAATGACCGTCATGGCCGCTGTGATCATGCGACACTGCTTGCCTGTAGTTAATCTTATCCCTGTCAGCGCCGTCTGCAGTACTAGCCTTATTTTCATGTGCGTTCTCATCGGAATTTTCTTTTTTGGAAAATTCGCTAAGATCACGCCGCATGGCATAAGCATCTTCACCGTCTGCATAATATTTCGGTTCGATTTCGATTATTTTGAATTTTAAAGAATCGGTGTAGAGATTGAGAGCTGCACGATTACTTTTACGAACATGCAAAGAAACATACTGTGCATCGAAGCATTCTACCATCGCTTGGGATGCTTGATTCATTAGCTTCTGCGCCAATCCCAGACGACGATATGACCTTTTCACCGCCAATGAGGTAATGTGACCATGTTTACTTTCCTCACCAGGTTCTGGCTCCTCCATTTTTGCAAGAACATAACCAACAATATTTCCTTTATCATCTTCGGCAACATAACTAAGTTGTGGCCATGTTAGGCCATGATAAAAATAGTATTTCATTTGATAATTTTCAGGCAGACAGAGTAAATTGCAATGCTGCATACTCATTAAGTCATCGGGCTTCGCACAACGGATATTCATGTCGGCGATACAATATTACAAGATCCGCTGTTTAGTTTTTAATTTTTACTATAGTCAGTTGATTAGTAGTAACTATTAACTATTTTTCCTATTTTCTAACTAATGATTTTAATTGCTTAAAAGTATTATTGCTTGCGAGTATTATCTATTCACGACGAACTTTTTTCGCTCTTATATGTGGTTGTTGTTCTAGAGGCTGGAATTCGTCACCGTTGCCTTGGCCGAGTAATTCTCGTACAAGGCGGAATTTCGATAAAAACGCCTTCCAGATGAGGAACCAGCCTGAAAATATTAAGCAAACAAAACAATAAATTAAAAACTGGGCTGGAAACGTTAATGTGGAGAATGCAATAAATAAATATCAGCGGCATTTTTGTATACATATCTAGATACCAGTAGAAATTTTAGGTAATCATGAGCCGAATAAATTCGTCCTAACAAGTGTTTATTTCATATATCAATAACATATATTTGTCTTAAGGCAAGCGATTATGCATGGCTGAAAAGCACGTCGTCATCAAGTAGGGGTCAAAGTTTGCATTCTCCAATAAAGCTTTAGAACATCAAAGTAACTCACGTAGACCAAACAAGATAACATACTTAACGCAATTTAATTAATAATTATTTACTTATAGCTTCCTTAAGGTAGCAAAGTCCCATTATCTTACCTAGCAAAATTATCACAGCTACAATGGAAACTGAGGCTAGAACTGTAAATATAAAGGCTAAAACCGTCTGAAAAGACATCTTTTCAGTTATTCAGTCTAAGTGTAAGCATCAAGCCGTTTTCGAAGCAGGTACACGTAAGTTTTAATATAGTTTCTTTAAACATAACAAGAAGAATCCAGCCTTATTTTACTTATTTTCAGCCCACAATTCCTGTGTTAACGAAATTGAAGCAGCTGGTTTTCGCCGTCAAAACGGAAAAGCAACATGCTGCTGACACATTCAACTTAACACACCCATTGCAGGCAGTGTGACCAGGTTACCTTTTGAGGCTAGATTGTGCATTTAATTGTATGCCATACAGGCTAACCTAATATTCACGCACGCCGCCAATTTACTGTTAAAAATTCCTCATGCACATACAGCTTATATGGGACCAGCCGAAGTTGAACGGCGTGTGTATGAAACTAGTTCAATTTCCAATTTTTGTTCTGCCTGACATTTTAATTTGACGTTTCGCTCAATGAAATCAAATCGAAACTCACGCAAGCCAATTTTGGATGCCGCAAAAAAAAAAACGTATTCGACGGCATAAGTACCAAAACGCAAGCCGCGAATATTTGGTTAGCCTGATAGCCTCAGAAATGTGGATCTTTTTTCTGGCTTTTTTTACTTAAAATGTTAATAACAAAAATCGGGCCCAAACTATAAAAATAAGTACCTAAGCTTACTAAAAACCTTTCATATTTCTAAAACTAGGTTCTATTTGCCGTAAAAATATTACAATAACTGCAAAGTTCATTTTTTTTAGAAAATATTTTCTTAACTTGCTATTTTGTTTTGATGAGTGTTCTAAAAAGTTTCTTATAGAAAGTTGGTTTTGCAGCACTTATAGAATTTTTAAGAAATTAAATTGCCGACTTCTTTTTAACACCAATTTTCATATCGTATAACATTTTCCAACCTTTTTTATAAACAAATTTAGCTTCGCTTTTTGTAGTTATCTGGTCACACTGATTGCAGGGATGCATGCATCAATGCATTGAAAACCAACACAAATGTTGAAGATGTCTTGGCAATGAACGCACCTCATAGTCTGGAAAAGAAATTTTTATTTCAATAAATGCACTAAATTGCATTGTAACAAAAGGCATGAATAATAAAGTTTATTCTTGTCAATTAGCACATTTTTTGCCTAAAAACCATCTACAAGTTTGCACTAAAACTTCACTACCTCTGCGGCGAGGTTAAGCAGGGTAAGCCAACCGCATGCATTGACAGATTGTCTGTGATGTGAATAAAACCGAATATATTTTTATTTTTGACATTTGAACTTACAAACAATTAAATCTTTATAAATTAACCTTTATTAGGGAAATCAATTATCTTCAATCACTTGGTAAAATTCTACACGCGTTATAGGAAGAATTGGCAGATTTTTGTTTTCTTTTATTTGACGTTTCTTCCAGGGTTTCCTAGATATATTTCAGTCTCCAACAGGATTTCTAATAAGAAATAGTAGTTGTGTTTCTTCGGTTATCCAGCTCAGTATAACTATCATTTCTCACGCAAACGATCTGGATCATTCTTAATGGGGATGGCAGCACCAATTTTATACTAGTAGCACGAGGAAGGCGAAATTATAAAAATTAACTAAATGCGAAAAAGTACATCTAAACGAAACACTATTCACTTAAATAAATATTTAACATAAACGCGATTTATTTGCATCAAGTTAAAAGAAAAAAAAATAGTAGAATATCTGTTTGTGTATACATTCATTTTTCAGTGCTACCAAACCGTGCAGCAAACAGCAGATCATTAACTGAATACGTAGGTCCGTCCAATTGGAAACTAATTTTCTATACAGTACAAAAAATGCACCTCTGCGAAGCTACTCATATGAATCATCCCTTCGCTTTGTTCGTTTTTACTACGTATTTGTTGGTAATTTCACAATTTATTTATTCTTTTGTTTAGAAGAGAATTTGTATTATTACTTTGCAAATTGTGCTATCCTTATTAATCAAAGTATAAAGTAGCAAAATTTTATGCAAATAATTGTTTCAAATTGCTTTAAATATTAAAACGTTTAAGTTACAATACGAACTTGGTGTTGGCGAAATTGGGACAACTTATTTCCTGCACAGATATTCGAACTTTCCCAGGGCATTGGAATAAAACAATCACGGTCAGTGCCATTGCCAACGTTACTGCCGTATTTGCAACTGACTAATTTAATTTCATTGCCGTCCACTTCCAAAGCGAGAAAATGAATGATAAACATCGAAAAGTAATAAGAGAAAACATCGGCAAACTTGTCCAGCACACTGATTTTAAAAGACTACTTAAAGCCTGTCAGGAAGAGCGTTTACTTTCGCAACAAATGGTCGAAAATCTTTACCTTGATTCAAAGAACTTACATGAATTTGGATCGACTCCTACTTTGGAAGAAATACAACATCAAAAGCTTTTTGAAAAAATTACCCACAGAGGTCCTGAAGCGTTTCAAAAACTTGTCAAAGTACTAAAGCATTTAGACAACGTCGAAGCGATTCAAATTTTAGAAAGGGAAAAGGAATTTAACTGCATAAAAGAAACTCGTCAGTATTTATCTCAAAAGAGCTCTAGCTCGCCCGACAATCCAATTGAAACACTGCCTGAATCAGTTTCAATCCAAACGCCCGACATTCCTGATAGTCTTCGAACAAAGGTATGGTATTTATTCTAGCAAAAAAGTATTTAATTTACATTGCATTATATTTTAAGGTCGATGAAGATGCAATACCTATACTAGAGGAGTATGCTGGTCCAGTATATCCCAAAGAAAAATATGAAGTAAAGAAAACCGATCGCATTCATACACATGATCTCATTGGAGCATATGAAATGAAATCGAAAGATAATCGCGGAGTTCTATTTATTGCAAATTTTATAAATACTCAGACTGGATACCGAAACGGAGCTATAAATGATAGTTATGCACTTATCTACGTATTCAAGCAATTAGGTTTTAAAATATTCGTAACTACAGATAGTTCGCAAAAAGAGTTTTTTGACCTGCTGGAAAAGTTATTAAAGTCTGACTATACACGTAAAACAGAATGTTTTATATTAGCACTGATGAGTCATGGAGAGCTGGACAGCAAAGACAAAGAATGTGTAGAATTCAGTGATGGCTCAATAGCAAAAGTGGAGGAAATACGGGACCGTTTTTCGAACGAAAGATGTCCCAATTTGGTGGAGAAACCAAAGGTTCTTATATTTCCCTTCTGTCGTGGCTTTAAATCTGATAGCGGAGTGCAACGAAAACTTGAGACTGATTCTATGAGTAGTAAAGACAATCTCGTCGCAACGACTTCCGATTTACTTATTTGTTTCGCTACGAATCCAGGTTTCAAATCACATAGAGACCCAGAAACAGGTTCTTGGTATATTCAAGAGCTTTGCAAGAACATAGCCCTTCACGCTCATGATACCCACTTCGAGGATATAATTAAAATAGTGCAAACCCAAGTAGGTTCATACCGTACGGAAAGGAGAAGTTTGCAAACGGGTACTTCACAACAACAAGGTTTCAATAAAAAATTATTTTTTAATCCTGGCTTCCCGAGCGACGAGTAGAAGGTTTTATTATTTATATACTATAAAAATTAGCAAGTGCATTTATTTTGTATACATTTGTATGTATACATAGTTTTGTATTAAAAAAAACTATAAATTTTTTACACTGATAATAAAATGTGATCCTTCATTCAGAGCCTATACTTATTGTACGTCTTTTCAGTAAATGGAATAATTCTAATTATAGGAGACTGACAGTAATATTTATAAACCATAACTTTGTAGTAGTAATAGTATATCATCGTTTAAAGTACAAAACCGCGTATCAAGATAATGCAAAACCGCGTATGTGAATTATGTAAATTTTTTACTAGAGAGTGAAAACACTCATATTTCAAAATGTTTTTTTTTTTAAGCAATCGCATTCCTGGCTAGTGTATTTCAGGACGAATTGATAAGGATTAAGCCAAGAGCTTGTGTGAGCAAATCAAATTTTTGGCAGCAAATGGCGGTTACGCGGTTTTACAGAATGACGATACGCGGTTTTGTACTTTAACCGACGATATATTTTTTAGCTTTAAGCTATTTTAGTTTTAAAGACAAATATTAATATTTACATAACTTTGTTTGTAATAAACTAAGAAGATATTTAGTTCAATTCTTAATACTCCCGGGAAGTTCGTTCTCCGGGAATTTTTTTCTCCCTCAAATAATTAATTCCCAGGGAGTATCGATTTCCCGTAAATTTGGTGAATTTCGAAAAATCTGTTTGACACCTCAACTCGGCTCTTTAATATAAAAATCGTCAGGGAATTTTTATTCGTGATTGTAGGAAAGAGAAAAGAAAAAACTGCCAGGCAGTTTCTGTTTAGAATCGGCCTGATTATTTTAAAAACTACAAATTCAGAATATATGTTTTATGATAATATCATGCATTGTGCTCTCTCAATTGCAGTCACATCTTGCAACTTTTATTTCCGAAAACATTAGACAGCGAATTACTTTGAAAATATTGCCACGTCTGACACGCTCTTTACACCTTGCAATTTTTATTTCCGAAAGTGCTTTCTGCAAATATGCAAAAAGGACTTATCAGCAGTGTGACCAGGTGAATCTTTTTGAGGCTAGATTTTGCAATTAATTTTAAGCCATAGGCTCGGAATTTTCGGTCTAACTTCGTGGCCTTTTTTACTTAAAATATTCATATTAAAATTTGGACCGGAACTTATAAAAGTAATAACCATATTAAACAATATTTAATATGTATTTCAAAAACTAACGTTCAAATATTACAACAGAGCAAAGTGCCATTTCATTGAGAATATACTTTCTTGACATTTGGCCAACCGCTAGAAGTTGGCGGTGAATAAGCCGTGTGTAAGGGGGCGGTAGCAATAACGAATACGTACATAAGAATGAGAAGCATTCCTAGCATAACTTAAAAGTTTACCGGTGCTGTTGTGTTGTTCACAGTTCAAAAAATCTTACTACTTGGCCGATAAATCAATGCGTGTGTAGTGCCTAAAAACGGTACTACGAAATTCGGCTTAAACTTATTTTTTTAACAATTGATTTGTTGGCGTATTACTAGCGCACTTTGATGTGGAAAAAAAATAATTTCTATTCAAATATTTTTTTGGTTATTCTTATGCTGGATTTCCACTAGGCATTACAGTGAATCTTACAATTTGTTTCTGACTATGTACAAAACTGTACAAAACCACAAATGATATGATGCTCGATGAGAAATGGGAATGGTTTTGTACAGTTTATTTTCGTACCCTGCCTTGAAGTAATGTATACGTAATTAACCTGAAAAATGTTATTTTGTATTCTGATGGGAACATGTAAACATTTACTGGCATCTTTTTAACCTCATTTCTCACAGGGTATAACTTTTCCTAACCTTTTTTCTTTTTTTTTTTTTTGTTTAGAAACGCAACAACGCGTATAGAAAATTGGCAAGGACTGTTATGATGTCCTCAAGAGCCAGGTTGTCCAAGAAGAATTGTAATGCGAAGCTTTTAGTGAGCGGTGACCCGACGAGCCGGTTCCAGTGATGATTCAATCCCACGTCGAACAAGCATGCAGGGTGACTCACAAAATTAATTTCTAATAAAGATAGTAAAATACAAACTAAAATAGCCTTTGAGACTAAACCAAGCAAAAACTTCAAACTGCACAAATTCAAAAGTGATTGATCACCAAATTAACCTATCGTACTACGTACATTATAATACAATAAATACAATATTCTCTATCAGCCTTTTTTTTTTTTTGATTGCCTTTTATACAAGAATAAAAGGTTTGTACCCTATCAGGTACTCATGTAAGTACAGGTTATAAGATGAATTTTCGTATACATGAGGAAATTAAAAAATTATTGAGTACAAAATCACCAAAAACTACAGAAGTAATACAGAGTAAATCGGCTATCTTATAATTAATAAAATGTAGTTGTACCAGCAGAATCAAAGGCACTTGATTGCAGAAAAAACACTAATTTAGGCATCTTTACAATTAACAACAAACTCGTAATACGTGTACACATGGAAAATTTAACTACAATGAGGTAGATACATCCATACTCCAAACCAGTCATACATATCTCTAATCTTATTACTAATATAATTATTTTTACTATTATTATTATTTTTTAAATGCACAATCGTACGTGCAGAATTCCATATCTGATTGAATAGAAAAATTAATCATATGACTACATTCTTAAGCATTCGGAACAAAAATGCATACATATTTGTCTCAGACTTTTTTTTCCCCTGCTTTCGTTAAAATTTCTCTTTTTTTTTTTTTTAATAATTGACTGGTTGAAATTGTTTTTCTTCATTTTCCCTAAAACGACTATTACTTAACAATAAACAAACATATGTCTGTTTTATAAAAACATACACTTTTAATTTTTTTCCCCTATATCTATATCTTTTTATACTCAAAGAAGCGTGTCGAGCTTCACCGTCTCCAAAAAGCAAAGCAACTCCCTGAGATGGCGATAATCAAAACTGGCGAAAATTTCTTTTAAGCAGTTGTATTTACTAAAAATAGTGAAATTGTTTCTGGCGGCGGAGAACTTTTGGCATACAAAAATAAGATGGTCATTTGTCTCTCTAACCCCACAGCATAAACAGGCATCAGTGATGTTAGCTTTAAACTTACTTAAAAAAATCTTTCCATATGTGTGTCCACACATGAGTCTATTTATTAATTTTATTTCCTGAACGGAAAAATTGCATTTTTTATCGCAGAACCAAGGGGAGTCAGTTACCTTACCTCCATTTTCAGCAAAAACTTTACCTTTGGATTGACAAATCTCCGAAAACTCACTCTCCCACTTACGCCAAATGGCTTGACGAATTCTTCTAAGCCCCTCCTCAACCGTAAACTTTATATGCATGTCCTGTCCATTTCTCACTGCAGCCTTTGCCGCTAAATCCGCTTTCTCATTGTACACTAACCCCACATGACTGGGAACCCAACTGAGCTTTATGCTTTCACACTTTAAGTTGTGCATCAAATTTTGAATCTCCGCAACAATATGATTAGTCGTTCGTTTCTTGTTAATTAATCTCAACGCCGCCATGCTATCTGAAAGAATGGCAATTTTCTTACACTCCAACTTGACCATCATCCGAACCGCCTGCCTGATTGCTAGAAGCTCCCCGAAGGTGGAGGAAAAATCACCCACTACTCTATATAAGAATGACAAATTTTTTTGAGGATCATGGACTGCGAAACCCACCCTTCCATCAGAAACCGACGCATCCGTGGCAAGGAGGTAAAAACCACTATTCTGCAGTTCCCTTAGTCTAGAGACAAAAATACTTTTCAACTGTACCGTACTAACATTATTTTTGGTAGTACCCAGCTCCGAAAGCTCCACGTGGAGGTTACGATGCCTACAAAAAGAAACATCAGTACCAAGAAGATTGAAAACGGCTTTGTGCTTTTCGTAAACAAAACAATAACTGGATTTAGAGACACTCCCACTCATCAGGTCATCCCTGAGGCGAGGATTTACAAGCCACTGTCTGCTGAGCTCCTTGGCAGCCAACCATTCCGCTCTTTTCAGAGGGGGAAGCTCGCCTGCCAAAGCATACCTCACATGCACCGGAGCACTTGGAGGAAGCCCCAAGCACCGCCTAAGAGTATCATTCAAAATGACTTGTATCTTTTTGTTGTACCCAATAGGTGCATCCGCATAAGTGGAGTTAGCGTATTCCACCTTGCTTCTCACAAAGGACTTATAAAAATTTAAAGCTACTTTGGGCACCAAACCGCTTTTAATAGGTGTTAAACATTTGATAAGATTTTTACCCGGTACCGCAATCATTTTTAGTCTGCTAACCTTATTATTTACCGATGTACTCGCAGTAATTACCCTCCCCAACCACTTTAGCGAGCGGACCTGTTCAACTTCTTTACCATCCAAGCATAAAGAAAAAAAGCTAAACCTATTGCTGTTTACACACATGAATTTGGTTTTTTCCACATTTATGCCAAGATTTAGACTTTTTGCACCTATTACTGAAAGCCATCAGTTTACCCTCAAGGGCCCTTATAGCCTCCAGCTCAGTATTACCACAACAGATGAACGCAAAATCATCCGCAAACTGAAACATCAACGAGCTATCATCATTCAACCTGTGGAGCCCTGCAGTATAAAGGTTAAAAAGCAGCGGTGACAGACAGCTCCCCTGGGGTAGTCCATTTGAAATCTCAACTGAATGCTTTCCTAACACAAGCGTTCTTCTGGAGAAAAAGTTTATAACCCAACTACGAATTCTGTTATCGACTCCTAAAACCTTTAACCTGTAATCTAACTTGTCGATGCTGACACGATTGTACGCGTCGGAAATATCCAAAACACACACGAAAACTTTTTTCCTACACTTCTTAAATTTACTGGACCAGTAAATGAACTCATTCAGGCACATTGTCGCCGATTTCCCTTTTCTGTATGCAAAACAGCCATCCGGAAACACGTTATTTTTTTCCGCCCATTCCTTTAGCTCTTCTTTTATAATCATGTTGATACTCTTCACAAACACTGAAAGAAGCGATATAGGTCTGAAATTCTGAATATCATTAAGATCCTTCCCATGCTTAGGAATAGGTACGATCTTGATCTTCCTCCACTCCTCTCTAACTCTATTCTCCAGAAAATGCCTCTCAAAATCGTGAACTAAAGCCTCCTTCGTGTCTACCGGCAGCCCTTTCAGCATACCAAATGTTACGCCATCCAAGCCCCCCGCCGATTTCTTCTTTTTCTTCAAAACGCTGTCAAACATCTCCACCGAAAACTCTAACCCCGACTCGTCCATACACCCATTGTCGCTGACCTGACAGTCCCTACCCACTTCAACGGTCCGCACTGCGCATTGGTTTTTTAATACGTCTAAATATTGAGCCTGCTCATCACTGGGCCAACATGGAACCCTTTTACGAGTCCCCTTAACACTATTAACGAACCTCCATGCCTCTGTAGTATTTGGGTATTCATTTAACTCACTAATTTTCGCCCGATAGCAGTCCGCTTTTGCTTTTTTTACAGCCGCTTTCCACTCCTCTTCCATATTAAGTAAATCCTCAAAGTCTCTAACATTGTTCGTCAGCCTCGCTTTCTTCCTGCACGCCGACAGCAGGCGAAATTGTTTTTTTAATGACTCGTTCCACCACGCTTTGAGGGAACCCTTTACAGAGTTTAAATCAATCGTGGCTCCTTTAATCTCCTTATTTATGGCCTCGCAGATACCATCAACCCCCTCATTACAGTGAATTCTAGCCAGCGCCGAGTTAAGTTTTCGCTTTTGAACGAACGGAACCGGTTTGCTCGCAACGTTTGGAAAATCTATAATAATAGGCCAGTGATGGCTGCCCCCGACAAAAACAGGGACCACCTTCCACATAAGCTGACAGTTCGAGTTAGTAAAAGAAAGATCTAAGACTGAAAGGCTGCCTGGACAATTTTTGCTAGTAGCGAAAGTAGGACTACCATCGTTTAAACATTTGAAATTTGCCTTACGAATCGCATCGAGCAGAATTTTACCTTTAGGAAGGTCCTTTGGGCTACCCCATCTTCTGGTCTTAGCATTGAAATCCCCCAACAGTAGGATGTTTTCGCGTCCCTCCAAAAACAGCAGTAAACGACTAATTTCATAGACAAAGAGATGTTTGTTTAAATTCGGTGGAAAATAAGCAGAAACTATAATAAAATTTTGAAGCAAGCTTGTGGTTTTAGCCACAACAATGTCATAGTTGGAATTGTATCTGATTTTCTGTAAGCGTAAGTTTTTCCTACTTCCAACTTCCTACACCCCCGTAGCCATCTGCCCTGAACTTTGATAACAAATTAAAATTTATAAGTTTATGGCCCTCAAAAATATCACCACACGAGAAAATCTCTTGTAGAACCACTATGTCAATCTCATTATGCTGAATGAAAAAGTCTATATAATCTCTATTGGCTTTCAGACTCTGACAATTAAATTGAAGAATTTTTATTGTCATCTTTGTTTCTATTTACAACAAGTCTATCATCTACGTTAGTTTTAATTAGATTCCCCAACACCTTCAAAATCGGCTCCTCAGCATCGATATTGAATTTCACCGACAACTCACTGAGAAGTTTTTCAATTTCACTCACTCTCTCCCACTTGGGACTTTCATACACCGGCACAGACTTTTCTATAATCCTGGCCTGCTGAACCTTTTTGCCGACCTCACTGCTCTTGTTAATTGCTGCTCTGGCAACCACGTTGTATTTTCTCCTGGTTAGACTCCTATTTACTACACCTTCGTTATTCTGCCTCACTTCGGCCTGTCCCACCCTAGCTGGGAACATTTCATCATAATCGGCCAGTACTGAGAAACTATTCCCTTCGAGCACATTTCTGTAGCTATCAAAAACTTCACGCTTAGACAACTTCTTCACCGTCATGATCTCAATGACCTGTCTTTCTTTCTCCCAGCTGGGACACCTATTTTTATTGAACGATAAATGGTCATTACTACCACATAAAATGCACTTAGGGTTAGTACTATTGCATTTTTCCTGACAAGATTCCTCCTTGCCACAGACTATGCACCGGTTCTTTGACCTGCAAGAAAGTTTCGTATGGCCGAGACGCCCACACTTAAAACATTGCTTGGCCCTGGGAAAGAAATGATTCACCCTAAACCCGACACAGAAAATTCTGACCGACTCCGGTATAACATTTCCTTCAAAGCCAATTTTTAACGAAAAAGTAGGAACAAAATTCTCCTTGTTGTTTGGATCTCTCCTAGTTATTCTAGACACCGATGACACCGGAATGTCCGACTGAATGTTGTTAAATATTTCACTTTCTAGAAAGTCAAGAGGTACCTGTCTAATCACACCATAGGTCTCAAAAAAACTTTTGGGAATAAAGACTCTAATTCCCATATTCTTGAGGTCATTGTTAGTCAGACTTGCGTTTGCATCTTTAACCGAATAAAAGAAGACCTTAAATAAGGACCTTCCTATAGCAAGAATGTTTTTCAGA